ATATTACATGTGCTCTTTTTTTGTGTGTGAGAGACAGTCTCACTACATAGTTCAGCCTGGCCTTGAACTCACTATGCAGCCCACGCTGGCCTCAAACTTACAGCAAGAGTGCTCGGATTACAGGTATGCACCACCACGCCTGGCTACATGTGCTCTTTAATCTTTTAAAAATATCCCATTACCAAAAAAAAAAAAAGTTTGGGGTCGGGGATTTAGCTCAGTGGTTCCACCACCTGCCTACTAAGCACAAGGTCTCAAGTTTGATCCCCAGTACCAAAAAATAAAAAAATATCCCATGAGGCTGGGGATTTGGCTCATTGGTTCTGCTGCCTGCCTTGCAAGCACAGGGCCCAAGTTCGATTTCCAGTACCAAAAAAAAAAAAAAAAAATCCCATGAGGTAAACTCTATAATTATGCCCATTTTACAGGCAGCAAACCAAGAACAGAGTAACATGTCCCAGGTCTCACAGCTTGGTAAGCAACAGAGCCAGGATCTGAGTCAACAATGGAAAAAGCTCTGCTTCTGCCACCACACACTGCCCCAGTGGGAAGACCAGTGTAGAAAGAACTAGAAACTCAGAAGATTCTACAGTTTCTATCTCTTTAAGATTAGTCTTCACTCTGCCCTCCTCAGGGTGTATCCCTCATCTCCCTGCCCCAGAACACATGTTCTCACACAGAGGAAGGTGCCCTAAGCCCCTCCTTTTTCAAGTACAAATTCCATTCAAAGAAAGGGAGCAAGCAGAGGGAAGCAAAGTGGCAGGCGGCAGGCAGCAGTCCAGGATGACTGCTCCACCTATGCTTGGTCCATGCCTTCCCCTCCTCCAGGGGCCCATTGCCCTGAGCTCCCCAGCCCTGAGGGCTCATGCCTTGCCATGTGGGTTGCTGCATGAAAACCAGTTCCATTTTTGGTAGCAGAGCCTTTCCTTCAGCTGACTGCTACTGAAGCATCCATAGTAATAAACCGCTGGGCAGCACATGACCTCATGCAGGGCAAGTCTTTCAGGTACAGCTGTGTTGCAGTGAAGGGGACGCTGCTCTCCCAGGAGTCAGTGCACGAGGGACCCCGATCCATCAACACAGCTAAGTGAGTGCCTGGGGAGATCCCTGGAGTGGCCAGCTGACACTTTCCTGCACTCGGAAGTGTCCTCGAGGCTAGCAACTGAGCTGGGGACCTGCTCCTAGGCGTCTGTTCCTCCCAGGACACAGGGGCAGATGGGAACTGTGGCTGATTTGGTTGTGAAGTGGGACCTGAGAACCCTGCCAGAAGAAAAGGACAAACAGCCATTTCAGGGGAGCTGATCAGTTCTACCAGGAGCCACTGACACTGGTGTCTTCTGCCCAAGGACACATCTCAGAGATGGAGCAGCTGGTCAGTGTCACACAGCAAGGTGTGATTTTGCTCTTGGAATGTCCAAGATCCACCAGAATCATCTACTCACTACCATTTTTAGCTTTAAAAATACATGCACAATGCCAGGCATGGTGGTGCATGACAGTAATCCTAGCAAAAGGACTGCCACAAGTTCAAGGCCAGCCAGCGTGGACTACATAGTTCAAGATCAGTCTGGACTATACAATGAGACCCTGTCTCAAAATAAAATAAAAACATGCACAATAAACTGAATATTTTTGTTTCACTTCTCAGAGGTCCAACTGCAAGGAGGCAAAAAAGGTCACTGCCTGTTCTAAAGTAAGGCCTGCACACTGTCACAGGGACCTGACACCTCCAGGCAGGCAGGCAATCTGTCCAAAGAAACCCATATCAGTATTCTGTATCAGATATCTATATCTTTTATCAGTATAAAAGATAAAAGTCTGTGTTTCACCAAAACTTTACTTCCCTTTCAGCTCTACACATTGGTCCTACCTTTGTATTCTAAAGTAACGCAAATCAAGTCTTCTTCCTCCCAGAGGGTATCTTAGCCACAAAACAGACATCTGCTGAACAGACAGGGGATTGGTCACCTTTGCCCCACAGCTCTAAGGCCATTCACAAGCCATGGCCTGCAGGCTAGATCCAGACCCCTGGCCTGTTTTCATAGTTCTCAAGCTAAAAATGCTTTTTACAATTTAAGAGTTGTTTATTTGTTATGCTACGGATTGAACACAGAGCCTCACAAATACTAGACAAAGGCTCTACCACTGAGCTACATTCCCAGCCTTTTATAAATTTTATTTTGATAGAAGGACAAAAATAGAAACAAAGCATTTACACATAGAGATGGGAGGGGGCTTAAGGGGAGAAATGGGATAAAATAAAATTTATGAAAAAAAAATTTTGAGTCAAGGTCTTTTTTTTTTCTGAATCTCACTATTAGCCCAGGCTGGCTCTGAACTCACTACGTAGCTCAGGCTGACATGAAATTCTCAGCAATCCTCCTGCCCTTGCCTCTCTCTTTTTTTTGGAGACAAGGTCTGGCTGTGTAGTGCAGGCTAGCTTTGAACTTACTATGTAGTCCAGGCTATCCTTGAACTCACAGAAATCCTCCTGCTTCAGCCTCTCAAGTGCTGGGATTATAGGAATGCACCACCACGTTTGGCTCCTGTCTCATCTGGAGTGCTGGAATCACAGATGTGTGCCATCATGCCCAGTGACATAAAGTCTAAGTGGCCCAGACGCCTCAAACTTCAACTCTCCTGCCTCAGCCTCCAGAGTAGCTTGGATTATAGACCTCCTGTGCTACCCTGGACAAGTTAAAGTCTTGCTACAAAGTAAATAAATAAAGCAAAAAATGTGTAACAGAGATGTTGTGTGGCCCATTAGACCTAAAACATTTACTCACTGGCCCTTTTCATTAAGTGTCTTGGCCTTTGGTTTCATTAACTTAGTACAAACTAGGGAGTGGGATCATACCAGTTTTTTGTTGTTTTTTTTGTTTGTCTGTTTGATTTTTGTTTTTTGTACCAGGGATCGAACTCAGGTCCTTGTGCTTGTGAGGCAGGCACTGGAACCACTGAGCTAAATCCCCGGCCCTCATACCATTTTTATTTGAAATGTTGGCTCTGCCTCCCCAGGATGGTCCAGCCACCTCATATCTATTTTCTACAATTCCCTAGGTCCCAAATTATAAAACACATCTTTAAAAAACAAGACAAAACAAAAAAGTGTGCTGTCTGAGAACTATCCAGAGGGAATGTAGGGAACCCCTTCTGGGGTACAAAATGAAGCAAATGGGAAATTGCCCACACACATGAGTCGTCTTAAAGGGTACTCCCCTAATTCTGGGTATGGAAACCCAACCTTAGTGAGGATGCAGTGTGGGGAGTTCCTGGTGCACAGGGCTTCTGCTGCAAAGCAGAAGCCAAGACATATCCAATAAAAACAAGTATAAACCCCACACACCTGACAGGAGAATCCCCTTCTCCCCGACCATGGTGTCAAAGCCCTGGGGAAAGCTCCGGATGAACCCTGCTGCATTGGCCACATTCGCTGCTCTCTGCACCTGCTCTGCGGTCACTGAGGATGGGCTGGAGGCACCATAAGCGATGTTCTCAGCGATGGAACAAGAGAACAAAATTGGCTCCTACAGGTTGGAAATAAAGCACATCTGATAGAAAGCTCAGTAGGAGCCCTTGGGTCCTCTACCCAGGCAGGGCCTTGTAAACTCTGATGCCTGGAACACAGTTCAGCTGTGTTTGCAGCTACCAGTCTTCCACTTAGGACAAGAAGGATCCATCTCTGCTCTTCAGTCTGACACACACGCGCGCGCACACACACACACACACACACACCAGGCAGGACCCACAGAGGTCCTAACAAACGTGCCAACTCCCGGCCTCTCACCTCCACTCTCAGGGCACAGTTGACCATTAGCCTGGCACCCCATGGCTGCATGACCCATGTGGCCCCATATAGGGGGTGAAGTGAGGGGACACTTACCAATGGAAAGTGTGGAAATGGGAAGGCACAGGTATGTCTGCTGAGCCCATGTGGTACTGATAAAAACTGGCTGTGTCAAAATCTCCCTGCCCCAAAGGTCCTTCAATTCCAAACAACCTCAGCCAAGGGACCCCACCAGTCATTCTCCACTGTATGCAGAGTCCTGCTCTGCAGAGTCCCTGGGCCTCACCACAGCATACTCTCGTGTATCTCTGAAATCCATGTGCAGAGCAAGGACAGTGGCTGGTGGCAGACATTGGAAGAGCAAGCAAGAGGATGTATGGTTTTTTCCACATCCTCTAGATTATTTGTGTTACAAAGAAACAGCAGTTCCAGCTCTGGGTAAAAAGTCAGAGCTGCAAGTTTCAACTGTTAAAGTGCTGCAAGCCCTCAAGAAATGACAAACCATCTGTCAAGTGAAGGGAGTTTACCACAGCCAGAAAACTTCATTCCTTCTCTCGTGAGAAGTGCAACGGAAAGGACAAAAGTCATTTCACAGGAAGGGAGGTGAAAATGGAGGCCTCTTACCTGACTGACAGTCCCAATCTTGGATCTCAGCCAGACAGGATTTAGCTGGCGGATGTCGTGCCCATCAAGACTGATAGTCCCTTGCGGAGGGGAGAACAGAGAGTCACTGAGTGTCAAGGAAGGGGCTAACTAATATGAACACAAAAAGGACCCACTGGGAAATTTCCACACTTAGGTTTTCCAAGAATAAAACTATTCCCCAATTTCCAAATGGAATCCAAAACCAACATATATGCAGTGTTAGAGCCAAGAGGGGGCCTCTGGTCAGAGTCTAGGTTTCCCTGTGACAGTGAGTGACAAACCACTCGAGGTTGTAGAAAGTCCCCAGGCTTCCTACTGACTGGGTGTTCTGACAATCACATGCCCTCACAGAACCTTGATTCCAAAGAGAGCTATCACTAAGAAGGAAAGACTGCCAGTTAACTATTTTTACAGTAAGCACTGTGTGGTTCACAAGCAGCAGTGTTAGACAGTCTCCCAGGAGTCTGACACTTAGCATGGAGGGGCTCTGTTGTGCTCCAAGGAAGGGGTGCCCCATAGAACGGGGGTACTTGCTCTTAGCTACTGAGCTCCTTCCAGATGAGGGCAGTGAGGAAGAGACAGGAGTTTAGAGACCAGGAGGTGGAGCTCTGGACTGAAGAGGCAGAGACTGGACACAAAACCTACCAGATGTCTCACAGCCTCTGTGTAAGCCATTCTACCCCACAAATGACACCATCTGCCTGAGAGAGCTCCTCCCAAGATGAGATCTGCTGGCCAATATCTGCTCAACCTGTCCACCTAGGGCATGGGGAAGAGGGGCTCAAGAGAGCCCCTATCCAAGATATGATGGGCCACTTACCAGAAATGGGATCATACAGTCGCAGGAGGAGTGAAACCACAGTGGATTTGCCAGAACCACTGGAGCCAACCAGCGCTGTGACAGATCCTGATGGGATGGAAAGGCTGAAATCCTGGAATATGGATACCTCTGGGCGAGCCGGATAGGCAAAGTGCACATTCCTGAACTCCAAGGCGCCCTGGAAATTCTGCTCATTTAGTGTAACACCCTCTGGAACACAAGAGGGAATGTCAACTATTCAAGGAAAAAAATCAAATTCACTGCCCAATACTGCTCTCCTGTGTTCCTGAGAATGGACAGCAGACGAGGCCAATCACAGCACTCTGAGGGCACAGCAGTGACTAGGCCTGTATCTAATGCCTGCCACGCGCCCACATCTACCCATACAAGGCACCCTGTAGGCACAGTCTCGTTTGATCTTACAACTCAACTCCAAGGTCCACCTTTTCTGAGGTGAGGCCATGGATGACAGTAGAGAGGAAAGACCTGCCTGGGAGCAGTCTGACTTTCAACCCTACTCCTGGGGCAGAGTTCACCTTGACAACCTTGAACAAACATTTCAATGATCAGTAATAAACCAGCTGTTGTACCATGGCAGCTGGAAGTCTGCTCTGCATGGGAGCTAAAGGCTCTGACAAGGAAACTTGGCTCACCTCTACTTGGGCTCTGGTTCCAGGTCCTGTCACACTGGAGAAAACAGGGCTCATGCACTGGCCTGTACCTACCCCCACAGCACCTGGGGGCCCAGGAGTAGAAGAGAGTGACTGCTCCTCAAACCATTCCCTCCGAGTCCCAGAGAGATGGCCCAGGCCAAGATCTAGCTCTAGTTCTAGCTCCTCAGTACCAGTACCCCACACTCCACCACAAAATTTCAAGAAAATTAAGTATATGTATGGGGCTGGGGATTTAGCTTAGTGGTTCTGTCGCCTGCCTTGCAAGCACAAGGACCCGAGTTTGATCCCCAGTACCAAAAAAAAAAAAGAGTTTATGTATGTTTGCTCTTTCCAGTGCTTGGCCTTAAACCCTCACAGGGAAGGGCTGTTTAGGGAAGGGCTGTTTAGGCAATGGCTGGCTCCTCCTAATTGCACCCAGCCTGCTTTCACACTTGTCCTGCCCTGAGCAGAAACTCATGACTACAAGGTGTGACCTGCCCATGCTTCTAGAGATCAGCTGCAGCCACACTGGGGCCCTGCTTGCTCATCCCTCTCTCACAGGAAACCTGCCCTTTCTTGCTGAGCTGCAGGGACCACATCAAGGACAGGGAACCGGTCTACCTGTCCAAAGTTTAATAACTTAAACTCCAAGTACAATGGCCCATGTCAAACATGAGAACATATATTTATAACGTTTTCCTTTAGTAAGACGCTGAAAATGCAATCCAAATATTCCACGGCACACAGACATTTATGCAAGATACAGCAGACTAAAACTTCAATCCCATCTCAGACTCACCGTCAAAAGGCAGCTGGGGCTGCCGCTCCAGGAGCTCCCAGAGACGGCTGCCAGCACCCAGTCCTTTCATCAGCTCGGAGTAGAAAGAGCTCAGACCTGGGACAAGAAGTGGAAAACAAACATCCATTGGCAGGGCCAGGAAAAGCCACAGGCTTCTCCTATCTTATGGGGCATCATGACAACAGCAATTTTTGTTGGTGGTGCTGGTGGTTTAGGTCCTGGTGATGGAACCTAGGGCCTCTGCACTGAAGCACATCACCAGCCCTTTATTTTTTATTTTGAGAAAGGGTCTTGTTAAGTTTCCCAGGCTGGGGTTAAACTTGTGATCTTCCTGCCTCAACCTCCCAAAGTGCTGGCATTATGTGCCAGTACACTCAGCAGACAATAAAATGCTTTTAACATGAATTTGCTACTTTCAACAAAATTGAGGCTACTGACTGAAACCAATATTCACCATTCCCTCTATTTAATACCTTTATTTTTCTCTGGCTTTTTGGGGGGCACGGAGCATACTGAGGATTGAACTCAGGAACTTGTGCTTGCAAGGCAAGTGGTGGAATCACTGAGCTAAATCCCAGGCCCTTTCCTCTTGAACTCAGGACCTTGCACTTGCAAGGCAGGCATGGTGCTATTGTGCTAAATCCCTGGCCCTCTGTCTTAACTCCCAGTTCTGTTGATTTCTCATAAGGCTTTTCTGTTTAAGGAATTTACAAAAAACATATTGTTAGACTGGGCATGGTGGTGCATGCCTGTAATCCCAGCACTCAGGAGGCTGAGGCAGGAGGAGAAGTGCTGAACTTCTGGGTTCCTCTCAGCAGAAGATGTAAGAATAGAGCTTTTGTTTTTGTTTTGGTACTGAGGATAGAACTTGGGACCTTGCACTTGTGAGGCAGGAGTGGCGGCACCACTGAGCTAAATCCCCAGCCCAGAGTTGTTTTTTTTTAGAGTGTGCTATGCTAGGCATGAACCAACATAAAAATTCTTCTTTGGGTTGGGGATTTAGCTCAGTGGTGCCGCCACTCCTCCTGCCTCACAAGTGCAAGGTCCTGAGTTGGATCTCCAGTACTGAAAAAAAAATTATTTTTTGTATTAAAAAGGCAATTTTTTTTTGTTTTGCACATTCATTATAGTTACTTTAGTCATAACATTACGGTTTTGTTTGTTTTTGTTTTTTGTTTTGGTACCGGGGATCGAACTTGGGTCCTTGTGCTTGCAAGGAAGGTGGCGAAATCACTGAGCTAAATCCCCATCCCATAGCATTACTTTCAAAACACAAAAGAGCCAGGCATGGTGGCACACACCTATAATCTCAGCACTAGGGAGACTGAGGCAAGAGGATTACCTTGAGTTCAAGGCTGACCTTAGGTACCTAATGAGTTCAAGGCCATTATGCACTCAAAGCAAGACCCTATCTCAAAAAACAGAACAATTGAAAAAAGAATTTAAAATCCAGTTCAGCGTGTTGTGTTAATTCCAGTTCTGGTCAGTGCATATCGGGCTGTGAGAAAGGAAACAGGTAGTGACAGAAGCACACCTGTCTAGGTCCATTCATTCCTCCCTTCTGCCTTAGTGGCAGGTACAGAACATGGCTGTAGTTATTTCTATCCCAGCATCCATGGTCTGCACATTTGGCCTCTGCACATACAGCCTCTGAAGCGCCCCTGGCAGGAAACCACCTGGACTAAACTGGTACTTTCCAATCTGACCTGAGCAAGGTACAGATGTGCATTTGGCCCAGTAAATGAAGGGGAGCCAAACAACCCAAGAGAGAAATACACCTAAGGTGTCCTAGTACAGGGGTCGAGGAGGCATTAGGATGGTGTCAAACGTGGCAGAAAACACAAGATTGGAGGAGCCAAGGAAGAAAGCTGTCAAGCATGGAATGTGAACAGAGAGCACAAAAGGGGAGTGGGTGGTCTGTCCACTCAAGGGCAGGGCAGAAGAACCCAAGGAGCAGCACCACAGGGGCAGGGGGCCCCAGCTCACTAAATCAACTAGGGACACAGAGAAGGGAATCATACAGTCACTCGGCACCTGACACCATTTCAACCGGGCTTTTCAAGACTAGCAGAACCAAAATGCCATTACGAAAAGCCTCTCAACAATCAGACCAAAACCCAAGAATAAGCCTCTTGAAGAAAATAGACACCACAGCAGGGCATGGTGGCGCATGCCTGTAATCCCAGCACTCTGGAGGCTGTGTCAGGAGGGTCGCTGTGAGTTCGAGACCAGCCTGGGCTACATTGTGAGTTCCAGGTCAATCTCAACTACATAGTGAGACCCTGTCTCAAAATTCCAAAAAAAATAAATAAATAAATACAGACACCACAGTACCCAATGTCCTGATCAGACCTCATCTGTCCCTTTAACTGACCTTTCTATCTCAAAGACCATAAAGAGAACAAAAGGCAAGAAATCATTCACCTGAATGACTGGGGAAATCTGGAAGGCACAGAGACACTTCACAGATCTTGTACAACTTTAGTTCATGGCCTTCCTTCCCCTCACCCAGGAAAGAATGACAAAAGCTGAATTCTGAGGGGCTCTATCTCTAATTTTTGAACTAGGCTTTTTGTTTTTTTAATGTGTGTTTTTTTGGTACCGGAGATTGAACTCAGGACCTTGAGCCTGCAAGGAAGTTGTAAAGCCAGTGAGCTAAATCCCCAGGCCCTGAACTAGGTTCTTGATGGAGACCACTCTGAGAAAGCTGCAGATTTATAAACTGGCTTTTCATATTAAAAGTCTGAGTCTGCTTATTAGCCCACAATGGCTTGCCTGAAGAGCCAGCAGCTGGTGTGTAGGAAAGGAACACCTCCCCATTCCACTGGTCACAGCGGAGGTCTCAATGATCCATGACAAAGTGACACCTTGGATGGCAAGATAATACTGCAGCTAAAGGCAGCATGACTCGTACATAAAACTTCTATAGAGGCAAAAATTAATCTATGGGAAAAAACAAAAATTTCCCATCAATCAATGATCTGTTCCTACTAGAATGGCTTGTTCCCTTGTTGCTAGGACCCTGCTCACAACAGTGTGCTCTACTCCACTGTTCCCTGCATCGCCCCTTACCCCTTCAAGAAGCTGTGTGTTCAGTAAATAAGTGGCAAGCTCTAGGAGACAGCGTCTTAGGATGACAAGAGCTTTGATTATCCTGGGTCCCCCATTTATGCAGTAAAGACCTTGTCTTGTCTTTTGTTATCCTGCCACTGTACCCTTGGTCAGACGATCGGAGGTCTGATCAGCCTACAACAGGTTCTCACTGCATTGCCTGGGCTGGTCTGGAACACCTGGGTTCCCAAGATCCTTCTGAGTAGCTGGGACTACAGGCAGATGCCATGCCTGGTTCTGAGACATTCTTTTTTTTTTGGTACCGGGGATTGAATTTGGGTCCTTGCGCTCGCAAGGCAGGCCACCAAACCGCTGAGCTAAATCCCTGGCCGGTTCTGAGACATTCTTGACAAAAGCAAGCTACTCTTGTTTCATGCATTTTATACTTTATCAATCTTTATCAATACTTTATCAATACTTTATCAATTGTTCATTAGCTTTGAGTATGGCTGACTTTGTACAAAAGGAATTTTATTTCCCAATGATCTGCCAATCATGAAACTCATTTCCAAGGACTATGTCCATACCAGCGCACACCCCACTCGTCCAATAGGCTGGGAAACACCACTCCCAGCAAGGCTGAGCTGCAAGAAGCCACAAAAACCCCAGACTTCCCAACAGAGGACTTGCTTACTCTGCTCATACTTTATTTTCTGAAAATTCAGCATTTCACTTGTAATTTCCCCAGCCTATTAAATTATGTACCTCCAATGCTTAATCCAACCCAGAAGGCATACATGAGAAAGGCGGAGAGCTCGCCCACGGTCATGTGAGCGTTGCCCATCATCAGCCCTCCTTTGTACAGCACAGAGAGCACGATCAGGTTCCCGGAGAGCCCTGTCTGTCAAGGAAGAAAGCACACAAGTCAGGCAGAACCAGAGGACTCTCAGGATGCAAAGTGCATGAATGAGGCCTCTGGTTTCCTTTGATGGACATTAAATTTTATCTGAATTTCAAAGTTTTGAAATATTTGCAACATTAAGAGACATAACCACGTCAGCATGAAAACCCAGATGCTAAGTCACACATTGGGGTCCTGTCTTGCTCAATCTACTCAACTTGCAAAGGAAAAGAGCAGTCTTGAGGAACTACTCTGACTAGAGTAGAGGGAGAGTGGAAGTCTGCTCCATGCGGCATGTGTTCTGATGAGTGTCCTCAGCAAGGAGGGGCTGGGACCCTGTGCGTGGACTCTTGTGGCCACTGCTTTCTAGCCTGTTAGTTGTGGCAGTGACTGAATCACCTCCAAGGATTTTTCAGGTGGGGACACACCAGGAGTTTTCCCACATGATAATCTTCTATTTCGGTATCCCATTGGAGTGCATTTAAATCAATTTTTTTGTACTTCTTTCTTGAAATGCACTGAAGTTATTTTGGCTAATTCTCAGTAGGTTTCAAATTTGCTCACATCAGAACAGCCAGAGCTATTCTGTTTAGTGGTAAATGGCGCCCATGCAGCTGGCTGCACCATACTGGGAAAGAACCCCGACCTCACCACCCACCTCCTCCTTCCTAAGCACATTTATTTGTTTTCCTAACAATGGCTAAGTTAGTCTTAGCTTGAAGTGGGATAAAATTATCTTCTATTATGGCATAAGCCACAGAATAAAAATGTCTCACAATCATAGCACATGCCCTTCCCACCCTCCCAGAACAGTCCACAGTCTACGTACTGCTCCAAAGAAGCCTGCTCGAGCGAAGGCCTCCTTCCTTGCTAACTGCAGCACATGGCCCACTCTGCCAGTGTATTTCTCTACCTCCATCATCTCTTTCCCAAAGGCTCGGACAGTTCTTAGGTTCCCAATGCGCTCCTCAGCCAGCTGTAAGGGTGACAAACACATGGCCAGGGAGGAAGGGTCACATTTCAATCTGGGAGCAAAATTAAACTGTGATTCTCATTTAAAATTCTATCAGTGGAAAGCCACTGGAAAAACACTACTGTGTCAGGAAAAGGTAACAAAAGAATACACAAAATAATCCTACTGTCAAAAAGTATGTATCTACATGTGCATATACCACATGCACTGATACAAATACATGATAAACAGATACATATGATAAACAGGTAACAGCAGGACAACAGGGAGAGAAATATATGTTCATGCAGAGATAGTCTATAAGATGTTAATGACATTAATTCTGAGACAGGATTATTTGTTTTTGTTCTTTCACATTATATTTTCACATTTTCCAATGACAAACAAGCATGGTTTTTGAAACAAAAAAAAAAGTTATTTTTAGCTTTTTAAAAAAGTGCCCTTGGGAGCCAGGCGTGGTGGCACATGCCTGTAATCCCAGCACTTGGGAGGCTGAGGCAGGAGGATCGCTGTGAGTTCAAAACCAGCCTGTACTACATAGTGAGTTCCAGGGCAGACTCAACTTAATAGTGAGACCCTGTCTCAAAAAAACAAAACAAAACAAAAAGTGCCCTTCAGCTTGGGATTTAGCTCAGTGGTGCCATGCCTGCCTCGTAAGCATAAGGTCCTGAGTTTGATCCCCGGTACCAAAAAATAAATAAAATAAAATTTAAAAACGCCCTTTTTAATTTTTAGTTTTGGCTGTGCTAAGGACTGAACTCAGGCCCTTGCCAATGTTAGGCACTACCACTGAGCTGCGCTCTCGGCTCATTATTTTTAGTTTTTAAAAAGGTACTATTGGGTCTGAGATGTAGTTTAGTGGCACTGCACCTGCCTCCCAAGCACAAGGTCCTGAGTTACATCCCTGGTACCAAAAAAAAAAAAAAAGGAACTATTGCCCAAAAACTAGCTTTATTGAATTAATGAAGGACACAATGTCATCCAGAAACTATTTCTAAAACACACTAGTTTTCTGATCCTATTAGTAACAGAAATGGTTAGAAGAAAAACTGATGTAATGTTGAATCACACTGGATATTGTCTGGGGTGTGGATGGAAATCAACTCCAGAGGCAGAGTACTCTGTGTCAGGGACCTGGGGGCCCGACATGAGGAAAGAATGGTACTTTTGTCTGTACTGGGGGTTGAACTCAGGAAGCACTGAGCTATGGTGCCAGTCCTAAATTGGCCGGGGCTGGCTGTAACTCACCTCATCTTCCTAGTATAGTTGGGATCAGAGGTATGTGCCACCATGCCCACAGGAATGTGCTTCATGAAATGCTCACATCCCCTGTAGCTCTGCCCACAGCTCTGGCTCTGTGCCCATTCCTCTGGAGCACACGAACATGAGAAGGCTGTTACCTGTGTGGCTTGTGCCAGCGAGTCCTGTGTGGCTTTGCTCAGTTTCCGCAAATATCGGCCATAAATCACTGCAAGGATGGACATTGGAGGCACCACACTCAAAACAAAGGTGGCTAGACTTGGTGACACAAAAAACTGTCAAAACAAAAGCCAACAAGTATTTGTCAGGTGGTGGTGATACCTTCTCACCATCTACTTGTACCCAGAGGCAGACTGGAAAGTGCTGTCCCAAGCTGTACCTCCTGGGTGGATGGACTTTTCAGACATCATAAAATCCCAAGAACATGCAGCCTGCCACAGAGGAGTTAACACATGGCATGGAACTCCTGAAGAAAGACGGAAATAGTTGCTCCTCAGACAATTCTGTGTATGTTAGGCCACCTTATTCAACAGCAGAGGGCAGACAGGCCAACAGTCCAGCAGAGGCCCACTCTGCTTCACAGTGGCCAGACCACACCAAGATTTCTGAGTTCCAGTTTGGAATACCTCGAGACCCTAAATGACCAGAACAATATGTTCCAGTGAAATGACTAAGTCAGAGAAGTTATCAAAACCCTGCATCAAACAACAGTCAAAAGAGGGCTGAGTGCTAAAGAATCACCATGAGTTCAAGGCCAGACTGAATTACATAGTGAGACCCCACCTCAAAAAAAAGAGAGACAGCTGACAGAATGCCAGTGGACAGAGTGGGAGCTGTGTCTCAGCAAGGTGAGCTAAGGCCAGCAGGACCCCAGCTCTGGCCAATGAGTAGAGGAGCTCCACAGGACTGCAGGGGCTCAACGAATAATCAGCTTCCAGCGTAACAGAGGCGGTCCTATGAACTTTCCAATTAGGAGACTGTTTTAAATGACATGAATGTTTAACACATTAATTAAAATCTACCAAAGCTCATTTGCACAGAAAATAGTGTAATCAGTACGAAGTCTCAGAAAATGCTCAGGAAACACTGCAAACTGAAATTTAAAGTCACAGCTTGTTTTTTTTTGTTTGTTTGTTTTTTTTTGAGGTATCTCACTATTTAGCCCAGGCTGGCTTTGAATTCACTATGTAGTCCAGGATGGCCTCAAACTTGCAGTCCTGCCTCAGCCTTCTGAGTTTTGGGATTACAGGCAAGTAACAATATGACTGGCTTATACATTTACTTTCTCACTCACAAATCATTACTGAGCACCTGCAACAGTACTATGGGCATGGGGAGACAACCAGACCAATGAAGTGGGAGTCAGATGGTACACCAAAGAAAGAGAGAGAAACAACCTCAGGTATGCACAGCGAAGCACACAGAGGCCTCGTGTGCTCACAGGGGAAGCGCAGGCTGGGCAATCAGTTCCTCCGGACACTTGGGAGCATAGTCAAGTCTCTGATGTGTCCTCCATGGTGAGTGGCAGAGCCCACCGGGACTCCCCATGGTGGGAGGCAACTGCCCAGGCCAGCCTCCCCTTTGCTCTGCCTGCATGCTCCTGAATAACTCTTTAATGACTAAAAGCAGGTCCCCACGTCTTCACGCAGGAAGGAGGCAACAGTGCATATCAGCAACTTGTAAAACAGTGCAGCTAACATTAGGCTCTGGTGCCTTGGGCCCAGTGAGTCGGTGCAGGGGAAACAAGGCCACATCTTGCTCCTCTAGCTAAAGACCAGATCCTAGTAATAATACCTCAGGAGGCCTTGTGATAGCCAGATGCCTGCTCCCCTGGGCTCGTGTGAGGGAGGATGAAGTCTTGAGAAAGGGATTAGGGTTAGCTGAGGTCTGGGTAAATGGAGGATAGGCTCTCATGCAGGGGGAACGTCCTGACAAAAAGAGACATCAGAGCTCTCTTTTCCCAGTGTAAATACACAGCAAGATGTTGGCTGCCTATGGGCCAAGCAGGAAGACCTCAGAATGCCTGTGGACTTCTAGCTCTGGAACAGTGAAAAATAAATGGCTGTTCTTTATGCCCCCATCCTGGTACTCAGCTATAGTGGCCTGGGCAGACCAAAACAGGACCCTTTGAACTAAGCTGATTACATTGAATTCTCTTCCACTGTTACAAAAAAAGGGACCCTGAGTATCTCTCCCAGCTTGACCTCTTCCTGAACCCTAGAACCACTTGCATTTGAAAAACTCTAGTCACGCAGGACAAGTCTTGTTTGGGAGTCTACTTCCCTATTGGCTGGGAAAATAAGAGGACCTTAAAACTGTCTTCCATGGGCTGGGGATTTGGCTCAGTGGTTCCACCGCCTGCCTCAATGCAAGCACAAGGACCCGAGTTCGATTCCTGATACCAAAATAAAAAATAAAAAAAAACAAACAAATCTGTCTTCCATTTCATAAGTCAGACCTAACAGGCTGATTACAGCTACTGCCCTTCTACTCCAGCCTGATGTGTGGGACCCAGAGAGGGCAAAGCCCCAGCTCTTCCAACACGTGAGCAAGGGGCAATCCACAAGACTCAAACAGTGCCATCCAAAATGAGAGCCTTCTGTGGCACTGGGCACCTGATGTATGGCAGGTATGATGGGGAAATATACCATTAATTTTAATTAGTCTAAATTTAAAATCCAATATTCCATTTGCTTATTGGAAAATCTTTGTTATGTACTCCACACTGGCCTTTGGTACCAGGGATCAAACTCAAGTCCTTGTGTTTGCAAGGCAGGTGGCGGAACCACTGAGCTAAATCCCTGGCTCCACACTGGCCTTTGAATTCACTATGTAGTCAGCCAGCCTCGAACTCACACCAGTCACCCTGTCTCAACCTCCCTAATGCTGAGTTTACAGGCATGCACCACCACAACTGGCTGGGAAGCTTTTTAATATGCCTGGTTATGTCAAACTATTTTTTAAACTGCAAATTTTAGGAAATCTAAATGGAAATCAAGCCGAGTATGGTGGCACATGCCTATCATCCCAATACACAGGAGGCTGAAGCAGGAGGACTAATGGAAGTTCAAGGCCAGCCTAGGCTACACAGTGAGTTCAAGGCCGTTCTGAACTACATAGTAAGACCTGATCCCCTAAAAGTAAGTAAATAAATAAATTTTAAAAAGCAGATCAAGCCGGGCGTGGTGGCTCACGCCTGTAATCCCAGCACTCAGGAAGCTGAGGCAGGAGGATTGCTGTGAGTTCGAGACCAGCCTGGGCTACATAGTAAGTTCCAGGTCAGTCTCAACTACATAGTGACATCCTGTCTCAACCCCCCCCCCAAAAAGCAGATCAAACATTTTTGATGAAAATTTCACATTCAAATTGTAATGCTTCATAATTATAAAGTACCAGATTTTAAAGTTATAATATAAAAAAGTAATATGAAATATCTCATCAGCAATTTTGACATTAATATGTGTTAAAATAAAATTGTTTACACTAGATTAAACAAAACATTCCTGAAATTAACCATGTCTACTCCTTTTGCATTTTGAATATGGTTATTAGAACATCATGATCACATATAAGGCTTTCAATGTATTTCCATCAGGCAGCAACACTGTTCCAAATAGATACTGCCTGGGGAAGTGAGAGGGCAGATGAGAGAGGTGAGCCACCACTGGACGCAGGCAGGCAGGCCATGGGCATAGAGCTCCCACAGGTTATGGGAGCAGAGACCAGAGGTGCCCCCCAGAGGTCCCAGAGTAAACACCCCTCACGGGCTATGGGCACAGAAACCCCCCACCCAAAGCCCATGAGCACACAGACCTCCTGCAGACTACAGGTACAGAGATTCCTGCAGGTACATGGTTCACTTGCACAGAGGACCGGATCCACTCCCCTCAACCTACTGCAAAGTCTGCATGGCTGCTCTACCTGCTGCTTTTGGATGCGTTACTCCAGGTTCGTGTATGCTCAGAAAACCCCACTCTCCAGATAACCCATTCTGGAGAGGTGTAGAGCAGGAAGCCAGGCAGGACAAGGCCATGCCCACATCCCCAAAGCCTCCAGGACTGTGTCTGAGGAGAGTTCACCAAGCCCCTGCATGCTTCAGACTGGAGGTTCCCAGGGAGGAGGCCAACTTACCATCATTCCCACACCCACTGAGGCCTGGGCTCCAGCCCTGAGCCCATCTGAGAGGTTTTCAGTCACTGAGCGCCCTAGCAGTGCAGTGTCAGATGAGAGGCGGTTAATCAGTTCTCCTGTGCGAGTCTTATCAAAGAAAGCAATCTCCTGCCTCAAGACAGAAGAGAAAAGTGAAGTCCGAAGCCTGTTCACAATGCGCTGACCTGCAAAGCAAAGAAACCAGCTCATGGCAGAAACAGCAGCCAATCAAAAGGCAGCTGCTTGCCCTCGTGTCAGCCCTCCTGAGCTGAGGGGCCTCTGCTGCATAGATTCCACCAGCAGGGATAGACTGACCCAACCCTGGCATATTGACAATCATGCCTTAATAAATACACACTGTGGGTACAGAAGAGGCAAAGACAGCAAGACTAAGACATGCCTTAAAAGTAGTATTTCTCTGCATAAGACCTATATTCACAAAAGTGGGAAAAAATAAGTAGTATTTATAGTTTTATTTTTAATTTTTAAAATCTGATTTTGTTCCTCACTGACAACCCTTTTCTCCACTAAACGTTCCAATGGCAAACACTGGTTCATTATCCATGGAGAATTTTATTAGCTAATTGAGACACAGAGGACTTAAGAGTCAGGGTCCAGCTCTGCCACGGCTAATAAGAGGCCTGTCCAAAGTAAGTCCACAAAAGTTACCATCCCAGCCCACCACACAAGCACAGAGCAAACAGGTTTCTGCAACTCCTTGAAGAAGCCCAGAACTCTACCCTGTGGCCAACATCCCGATAAGACATGGAGTTTAGGGCCGGGGATTTAGCTCAGTGGTTCTGGCACCTGCCTCACAAGTGCAAGGACCCGAGTTCGAACGCCGGTACAAAAGAAAAAAAAAAAAGAAGACATGGAGTTTGGCCCTCTGTTCAAGTCTCACCTTGGAAAAGAACTGAGCTGAACATATATAGCTTTCTCTGGCCAAGAACTCAGATTTGTCCCCACCACATGTGATGCAGGAAAGGAGAAAGGAGCTTCAGGCAATGAACCATGAGGCCAGATCAAAAACAGGGTCCCCTGCATCTTCCCAAGTAGGCCCCTCACCTGAGGAGCCCCTCACCTGAGGACTGCATGAGGTAGACACGGACAGCATTGGCAGCAGCTCCACACAGGAACACACAGGTGAGCCCCAGGCAGAGGCGGGTCAGGCTCTCGCTATAGTCCGAAGTGGGGTTGGTATAGATGACATCGATGATCTTCCCCAGGAAGAAAGGAGCGGACATTGTGATGACACTGGACACAGCCAGAAAGCCAACAGCAGCTGGAAGACAGGAACACATGCTCACACTCACAATGCTTGGAACCAGTTCAGGTGTGGAGTTCCCGAGGCCTCCTTCCCAGACTTTCAGGCTCAGTTACTGGGGTGAAAGAAAACGACCAAATGGTTCAAGGCTGAGAGTACGTGAGGTGACCATAAGGGAGCAAGTGACTGTGCCCAGCCAGATGAGATGCTCTTTAGGTTTGGTCACCCCTCCCTTATTGTTGCCAGGAATAACAGAGTCAACTATGGCATCCCTTCTGGCTGCCTTCCATCCTTCTAGCTCTCAGATCCTCTTCTTCCTGCCTTCACGCCACGTGGTATTACTGCCTGGCATCTCACTGTATCTTAGCCTGAAGCTCAGACTATCCAGGCAGAAGTCTCAACCATATCCGTATTTCAAAGCTCATTAACCTTTGGAGAGCAGTTGCTGAAATCCATTACTCATGGGTATGTTTGTCCCTAATATTATTGCATTAGGGAATAAACCAATAGGGTATCAGCACAATTTGGAAAAAAATAAGGACACAACTGTTCATGTGCATAAAAATAAGACAAAGGGGATCTAGTCTCATTAGAAAATACTAAGAAAATCCAGTAAGAACCAGGCAAGGTGGCACATGCCAGCATACAGGAGGCTGAGGCAGGAGGAATACCATGAGTTTGAGGTCAGCCTGGGCTACACAGTGAGTTCAAGGCCAGTATGAACCACATAGCAAGACCCCGTCGTAAAAAAAAAAAAAAAAAAAACCAACTAGGAACAACATATACCAGAGATAACTGGGGGATTTAAGGGGAACGTAAAACATATCATTTTTCACCCAAGGGATTGGTGAAGATCATTATGCCAACATATGCTGCTGAAGTAATTATGTTAGTGGAGTGCAAACAGGTAGTCTCAATGGAGATAAATTTAACCAGACACCTGTCAGACTGGAAATGCACATTCTTTTTGATCTAGCAAGCTATAGACTCAAGATGTTTGCTATAGCACTCATTATATTAGCAAAAGAATCAAAATATCCTAAATCTCTATCAATAGAGGACAAGTTACAGCTATCATATTCATTTTATTTTTTTGCTTTTTGAGACAGGGTCTTACTATGTAGTTGGGACTGACCTGGAACTCACTATGTAGCCCAGGCTGGTCTTGAACTCACAGCGATCCTCCTGCCTCAGCCTCCTGAGTGCTGGGATTACAGGCATGCACCACCACACCTGGCTTTATCATATTCAATTTATTAATACTATGCAGTAATTATAAGGAATGAAGTGACTCTCACTATGCACATGGAACAACCTACCAAGATATACTGTTGATTAAAAAGGTCTAGGAGGGCCGGGGATGTAGCTCAGTGGAGCCACTCCTGCCTGGCAAGCACAGGGTCCTGAGTTGGGTCTCTGGTTGCAGGTAGGGCATTTCGGGAGAGCTTGGCGTGGTGATGCATGCCTGTAATCCCAGCACTCAGGAGGCTGAGGCAGGACAATTGCCATGAGTTTGAGGCCAGTCTGGGCTACACAGTGAATTCAAAGTCAGCAAAACAAAAGTCCAGGACAGCCAAAAATGGTGACACATGACCATAATCCCAGCTACTTGGAAGGCTGGAGCAAGAGGATCGCAAATTCTAGCCCAACCAGGCAATTTTTTTTTTTTTTTTTTTTTTTTTTTTGAGACTGGGTCTCACTATGTAGTGAGACTGACCTGGAACTCACTATGTAGCTCAGGCTGGTCTCGAACTCACAGCGATCCTCCTGCCTCCCCAGGCAATTTTTGTTGCTGTTGCTTTTATGTGTGTTTTTTTTCAGCATTTTTTTTTTTTTTTTTTTTAAAGGACGGAGTCTCGTTATGCAGTTCAGGCTGGCCATGAACTCACTATGTATCCCAGGCTAGCCTTGAACTCTCAGAAATCCTCCTGATTCAGCCTTCCAAATGCTAACCTGTCTCAAACAAACAAACAAAGATAAATAAATAAAATGTAAAAAGAGCTGAGGATGTGGGTCAGTGGCAGAGTGTTTGCCTAGTGTGTGCCAGGCAGCCCTGGGTTTCAATCCTAGTACTGCCAAAACAAAAAACAAAACCCACACACAAAATTTCCAGGACACAAATATTAATACTTTAGAGGTTTTTGTTTTTGGGGTGTTTTTTTTTTGCTTCTTGGGTTTTTTTTGTTTGTTTTTTTTGTTTGTTTGTTTGTTTTTTGAGGCAGGGTCTCACTATGTAGTTGAGACTGACCTGCTGGAACTCACTATGTAGTCCAAGCTGGTCTCAAACTCACAGCGATCCTACTGCCTCAGCCTCCCAAGTGCTTGGATTATAGGCGTGCGCCACCATGCCAGGCTGCTTGGTAGTATTTTGAGTCTACATGAGTATAGGACATATCCAGATGAACAATAACAGTAACCCAGCTTCCTTCTAAGAGTGGCACAGGCGAGGGGGTGCAGGGTGGCTTCCTTGGGTTTGGTGCTATGTGCTTGTTACCTATGTAGGCTCCAGGGTGGACACAACTTGGACAGAGCCCTGGAAGGTGGGAGGTCCCAGGGCACTGCAAATGGCAATTGCTTCTGCCTGCTGGTGGACAGGGCTCACACCTGAGTCAGAGGGAACACTGGCTGTCCAGTGGAGAGCTGAGCTTTGGTAGAAACATGAGCCTTTAAGCAGGGAATGAATTTTTTTTCCCTAATCTTTCCCCAGGCCTGCTCTGATGCATCCCTTAAAATGCAGATACCTGGGCCGGGCATTTAGCTCAGTGGTTCAGTGGCCTGCCTCGCAAGCGCAAGGACCCGAGTTCGATCCCCAGTACCAAAAACAAAACAAAACAAAAAAAAATGCAGATACCTGATACTACCTGTGCTTGTGCTCTCCCTCCCTGTTTGTCTCTTACATTTCCCATCTTCTGGCATTCTAAATATTTCTTTCACTGATTTATCATCACCTCTCCTTTTTCCCCCATTATGTTTATTGGTACATTCAAAACAAACAATATAGTTATATTTATCACTGGGATCTTATACCTTTACATGATATATCTTGGTTCTTATTTCTTCTCCATACCCCTGTCCTCCCTTCACCTCCTTCCCTATTTACAGAGACTTTGTTTCTATTTTTTCCTTCTCTTTTTGTTTTTTTTTTAAAGACAGATTCTCACTATGTAGTTCAGTAGTTCAGGCCTTGAACTCACTACATAGCCCGGGTTAGCCTTGAACTCAATGGCGATCCTCTTACCGCAACCTCCTGAGTGCTGGGATCATAGGTATGCACCACCATGCCCGGCTGTCATCTCTCCATTAGGAAAGAAAAAATTTTGGTCTGTTTTGCTCACTGCTATATTCCCACTACCTAAGATCACAGCAAAAGCTCAATCAATATTTGCTGAATGAATGAATGAGTGACATGAACTTTGGCAATGGTGATAGTAAAGTCGAATCAGACCAAAGTCCTTCACCAACCCAACTAGAAAAGTTAGGCAGCTCAGAAAGTCCACATATCTGCTTTAAAAACCATAATCCCAATCTATTGGATAACATGAACCTGGCCAAGAGCAGTTTCACATTTTCATGTAAGGCTGAGGGTCTTGTTTCTAAGCAACATGCTCCTAGTGACAGTGCCTAGCAGGACTGAAAGTCCAAAAGGCAGGGACAGCCTCTGACTGACTGCACACAGCTCAGCCTCATGAACTAGAAGAGGTCATCCTGGTTGCCGGGGATCGGCATGCAATTCTCTCAAAAGTAAAGCATATGTGAAGCACTGTGAGTGCCAGTCACTGCTCCTCCTCCAGTTTTTAAATCAAAGTTGTTAACCTGCAATAAGACTCTGCATCTCATGAATGAAATGCCCCACGGTTCCAACTCTTAAGTTCTTATGAAAAGAAAAAAAATATTACTTGAATCCAAACTCATTCCAGGATACCCCCTCAGGTTTACATTTCAATTACTTAGTGTGTGTGTGTGTGTGTGTGCGTGCGTGCGTGCGTGCGTGTGTGTGTGTGTGTGTGTGTGTGTGTTGAGATGAAGTCTCACTATGTTGTCCAGGTTGGCCTTGAACTCCAGGACTCTAGCAGTCTTCTTGCCTCAGCCTTGAAAGTAGCTGGGACTACACAGGCATGCACACCACACCTGGCTAGAAAAAAAAAAATCTGTATTGACACCTTGTTCTATTGCCATTTTCCTCTTTCTCTTATGAGCTGAAGGGAAGTAAAATAAAAGATTTTTCCAGCTTTTGGTTACTTGGGCTTTTTCCTTTTTTAATGGTACTGGGGATTAAATCAAGAGAGTACTAAGCTACATCTTTAGCCCATGTTTATTTTTTTAAATTTTGAGACAGAGCTTTACTAAGTTGCCCATGCTTGTCTTGAACTTTTGATTTTCCTTCAGCAGGTTACCAGTAGCTGGGATTATAAGTGAGCTACCAAATCTAAACCTACCCAGATGGTTACCTGGATTCTTAAAATCAAAGTCCGGTCGCATGTCACCGTCTTCTAATATGAATGAGTAACCTCATCTTACATTTCAGGTTCTATCCCCAGATCTGGACATGCTCAGTTGCATGGCAATTCTTTTCACATTCGCCTCCACCTTTTCCCCATGGCTGAGTCACTTGCTTGCCCCTCTCCTTGTCTGACTGGACCCCAGCCACTTCCTCTGCCAATTCTTGACATACCTTTTCAAGCATTTTCCCATTATTCTCATTCTCCTGAATCATGGCACTCAAGGATGAAAAGAACCTGGGCATGGGGGCAAACACTACAGGAGGCTGAGGCAGGAGGATTACAAGTTCCAGCCCAGCCTGAGCAACTTAGCCACTTTTTGTCTTAAAATAAAAAAGGCTGGGGATGCAGAACAGTGCAAAGGTCCTGGGCCCAATCTCCAGCAGCACCCCGCAAAAAAAAGAAGGCTCATCTGCCCATGCCTTGCACGCTGTCCTGAGTGAAATGCTGCCCTGCAGCAGTAGCTATATCCTCTCTTTGATCCCTGCACTTAGTGTGTTCACTATATCCCCTGCAGTCACTCTGAAAGGAATCCTCGTGAAATCCAGCCCCAACTCAGATGTCAGGTTCTAGGAATGCTCCTGATTTCAAAACACACAACCCCTTACCAGTAATTCAAAGAGGAAGAGGTGACTTCCAAGTCCTCCACACAGATCTGCACCAGACACTGTGGGAGAAGGGGTACACTGTGCCACCACAGCCCAAGTATGGACCTGCCTGGCAAGCAGGGGCCATCTATCTCTCAGAGGCAAGGCCCAGCACATAAAAGGTCTCCTGGCTGGTGTCGCATTCTCGGGACACAGCACCCTTAAGGCCCCTCACTGGGAAGGCTGAGCCCAGCCTCCCTATCATCAGGCACAGAGCAGCTGATGAAATGCCTGCTATCTGGTCAGTGCACAGCCAGCTCCTCCTGGGGCTCCTGAGCTCCTGTGGCTAAAGTGATAAGAGGAAGAAGTTATCAGTGCAAAAGAGCTCTGGATAACCCTGCAGACCAAGTGACAGGAAAGCAGCTGCCAAGCAAGGAGCAGGAGGGATGAAGATCACATTAGCCCTGCTCTGGACAAGCACCTGCACACATTTCACATACAGGACCTGTTTTCTAAGTTTCTGATACAAATTACTTAATATCAAAGCTTTCTAACCACATAGTTGAGGGGGCACACTCCATACCTGGAAAACTGTCAAAGTCAATGGAAAGATTATTACTCAAAACAGAAACCTACAATTTTGGAAAGGGATTTTTATATTAATTTTCTAAAATTTAACAAACATTGGAATTCTCTTCACCTTGGCGTTTTTGGTCTCTTGTTTTAAAGTCTCTGTCCCTGCTGTGTTTGAAGTGTGCCAAGGCCTGAGGTCTCTCTCAGGATGATCAGTTATGAACCAACGGTGACTCCACTTCCTCTTAGTCCTGCAAACACCAACAACCAGAGTGGCTTTCGTATATAATGTAGAAAGACTTCTGAGGAAACCATAAGCTCTAAAAATGGGTTTTCATCAGATTTCCTCACAACATATGTTATCTATCTGTTTAAAAAGTTAAAAAAGTCAGGCATGGTGGTGCATGCCTATAATCCCAGCATTCTGGGGTGAGGCTGGAGGGGGTAGGGTTTTAACTACATAGTGAGACCCTGTCTCAAATAAATAAATTAATTAAATGAATGAATGAATGAATGAATAAATAAAAAATTTTTTAAAAGTCAGTGTGCCAACCACAGGCTGATTTCTCAAATCACTCATCCAACATTTCAACAAGGCAGCCCAAAGAGCTCTTCAAATGAAATAAGGAGCTGCTTGTAGCCTGTACAAGTCAGTGTTCACAGCACACTGTAGGCAGGGCAGACAGGCAGAGAATAACTATCATGGGGCTCATAGTTATTAGGCAGGTATGGGCACAGCAGCACCAGCAAAGCCTCCCTCCTGAGGGAGGGTCCTGAGAACCTTGACAGCTAATGTTTGAAAATGGAACAAAACAGATTTCCCTACTAAATGGACCACACATAAGACTGCTGGGTACACTTCAGTGCCCAGGGCTCCAGTATCCATCTGCCTGGCTGCTTTGCAACTTACTGTCCAGGGAGACCACTTGTCTCAATTTTCCCTCTTAAATTGAGAAAGAGGGGCCAGGGATTTAGCTCAGTGGTTTTGGTGCCTGCTTCACAAGCACAAGGACCCAAGTTTGATCCCCAGTACAAAAAAAAAAAAAAAAAAACGGAAAGAGAAGGAGCTTTCCACCAAAATCTACAATGAATTAACTCTCTTCTTGCCTAAGTATACCAAGACTCCCCCTGGACTCCTGTGCAGGCACAGATAAAAGGTGGCACCCACCCATCCTGAAGTGCAAGCCTGCCCCAAATCCTGCATTCCGCCCCAGGAGGGCACTTCCTACAGCAAGAGACTCAAGGGCGGCAGGCAACCTCAGGGACTCTCTGGGTTTACATCCAATCATGATGATTTCCTTAGTGTTTCCTTCTGATAAGCTAGAATCCCCAGCAAGCTATAGGACCATCCATTTTTGTTGGCCAGTGTGATCCCATAGAGGGCAAGGGCTCAACACATTTTTTGGAAACCTGCAGTCCTTATAAGGAGCTACACCTCCAGCCCTGTTTTTTTGTTGTTGTTTTGTTTTTCAGATCAGAATGGTAATGTGCTGACCATGGTAACAAGATTTGAGGGAGGCACGTCTCATGCATACAGCATGAACACCCAATCATCATGCTCATGAACCGAAGGATCTGTTTTTTTATTCTTTTGAGACCAAGTCTTGCTGAATTGCTAAGTCGTCCAGGATGGGCTCCAACTTTCAAATCTCAGCCTCCCAGAGTGCTGCGATTGTAGGCATGGGCCACTGGAAGATTCAAAAAAACCTCAAAAATGTGTAGATTAACTTAGGCCCTTGTGTTTAAACATCCTCCAATCATGGCTAAAAATGAGGAGCTGTGGAAAACTTTATTTGGATATTTTAAATAACACTTTTTGGTTTCTTTTAAAAAGTTACTTAACCAAAAAAAAAAAATTTTTTTTTAAAAGCTAGGTATTTAGCTCAGTGGTTCGGTGGTCTGCCTTGCAAGCGCAAGGACCCGAGTTCGATCCCCGGTACCAAAAAAATAAATAAATAAAAATAAAAAGTTACTTAAAAAAAAAGCTACTCAATCACAATTCAACTGTATTACAGTCTAGTTTCTTGGGCCAGGATCAATGCCACTGTCCCCACCGAATGCCACCAAGCTCACCAGCCAGAGAGGTGACAGCCAGTCTAGCGGTTCAGACCGAGTCCCTTAAGGTAGGCATATTTTTGGTGTTTTGTTTTGTTTTTGTTTTTGAATGAGAGGAACTCCAGCTCACTCTGAGAATGTTCCAAAGCAGACACTCCCATGAAGCTGGTGGCAGACGGACGGAGTTCAGTAACAGGTTGTGCTGTCGTCGTCCGGCAAGATCAGGAGGGCACCTACCGCCAGTCCCCACCGCCCGACCTCTGCCCGGCGCGGCTCCCTTACCTGCTAGCCTCCCGCGCTCGGGCCTCAC